CTTATATGTTTTAGGAAAATTTAAATCATTTTCAATTAACATTTTATATCTTGTACTGTTATACCTATGCACCTGCCACCTATGGTTATAATTTGTGGATAAGTATATAGGCATAAAGGTATCGAAGAATGGGATCATAGGTTTAGTAAATTAATAATTGGACAAACACATCCAACAATTTGAACTATTATAAACAAAATAAGGTTAGAAGTGCAGCTCATGAAACAAAGCTATAACAAAAAAATAACCACATATTTAATGTTTAGTTTTTACTACTGACTTAACAAATTTAAACTCCAGTTAGTGTGGTTCAATATATTTTGTGTTTATGATATGGTTATATATGTCATATGATCAAATATAATTGTAAATTGTGTTCAAGGATCTCAKTAATTCACCAATGTTTGGAAGTAGGGAAGTCAGTAGAAAATGTTTAACTCAGATCGAAAGTTACTATAACAAAATTACWTTTTATTATTTATAGTTTATGGCAATTGAAAGAGGTCCTTCAAATTGAAAGTTATTTATTGATGATAATAATATGTTTTAATATAGAAAATCCTTCAATATTACTTGCCAGTTACCAGTAGTCATGCTGATGAGTGATGAGTATTTGCTTATAATGATATTTACTATTTTTAGCTTGAGTATTTGTCATGTTATTTCATTAATTATTTTTACATAGAAATTTATAAATTCATGAAAAGTTAATAAGGTTGGGGTCTATTCATTTATAAAAACTATTTATTCAAATCAAAATGCACAATACCAATGAGAAAACTATTTTTCCTTGTATGGAAAATACTAGATAGTTATAATTAATATTCTGATTGTATGTATTTGCAAACTGAAACAGAAGAGGTAATAACTAAAGAAACTGAACATAATAATATAATCTAGATTAATTAAAAATCAAAGTAAAAAAAGCATTTGACAAAATGAAAAAATAATTGCAAAAGAAACAATAAACCTTATAGATTCACATGCTTTGGTTTACAATCTGTTTAATTTATAATTACAGTSATTACATTTTGAATAATTAGTTAACTGAAATTATTTCAACGTTCGAGTAAATTGCTTGCAATTTCTTCTAAACAAAAAATCCTTTGATTTAATATGTCCTGCAGATAATTCTCAAACACGGGATGAGTTGTTAATTCTGTCATGAGTATTGGCTGTTTCGTAAAATTCTATAACTTATGTTTTTGATATAATATTATGATACCTAACTAAAACAAAATAATCCGCAGCTTACAGATTTATGTCTTTTCAAATGTCGAAAACTTAGATACAATGTAGATACCAGGTATTAATGTTTAATTATCGTGACAAGTGGTATGCAAATGAATTTTTAAATTTTTATTTATTAAATTCAAAATTGTTCAACAAAGATCCAACTCCTTACAAAAACACCTTAATAAAAAATAAAAATTAATTATTAGGTACATCTTTAGGTTGTACAAATTTTTTATCAAAATTATTAAATAACTAACTGATTTAATGGTAGTGTGCTACATATAYCTACTGTAAATTTATTGTTATTATTGTTAATTAATAATTAAATTACATGTAGGTACGTTTATTTTTTAATAATACAGAATGAAAAATAAAAATATGTTGGACCATGAAATACATTAAAAAATATTTAATATCTCTAAATTCAGTAGTAAATTTTCCATTTCAAGATCGTGGACTATTGGCGGTTCTAAAGTGTCCATTTCAAAAATTGGTTCAGAAAGTGACTCAGTTGTAGCAAGAATACCCTTCATATTTACATAACCTGAATTCTTCCCGATTGGTGTAGGATTACCAATTTTGTTACCAGGACAAACAAATAAACAAACCAAATCCTTTAAGATAATGACTTGACTATTTCTGTCGGAACTCTCTGTTACATTGCTAAATATATAACTTTTTACATATATGATTGAGGATTCTCCTAAATGGCCGTAAGTAATTAAACGATTCAAGTGAGGAGTTAACAAAACAGGAGAAAAATAATGTTCGCCGTCCGAAATGTATAAATAATATCTGTCAAATGTTGAGCTAGTGTTTTTGAATGGTTTAACACTAAGAACCTGCATGATAGGATATTTAACTTCTATATTGTTCATAATAGATTGCAATGCACCATTTGTCAACATTATTGAATGTAGTCCTCTTTCTATAAGTGATTTCCTGTATAAACAAAAAATAAAAATAATTTACAGTTACACATTTACATGAATATACACGATGAACTAATATCTTAGTTAGTATGTTATATTATGTTCATTATAGAATAAACTTGAAATAATTTTCAAATAAAGAATTAGGAACTATATAACTGTATTTCTATCAAAATAACTACAATTTACATAGGTACTATAATTCAAAATTAAATAAATACAGGAATATTGGTCATAAGAAAATTATTTCAATTTTATTATTTTGATATAAAATTGCTATTGTAGTTCTAATTAGTAACGGTTTAAAATATTATTTTKCTGTATATTTTATTAAATATATCCTTCATAAGGATATTAAATTGTAAATAATAATAATATACATACAATAGTGGAGCATGGAGATTAGATAATGGTATCCAACATCCAAACCATTGAAATAAATTAAAATAACAATTTTAATTGKAAATTGTAATATAAATTGTATAACTTTGTTAAAATAAGAAAATTAGGTACCACTCTAATTCTTGCTTTGTATCCGATTCACTACGWTTTTTGTTCACTAGAGTTGTTTGAGCTGAAGCTTTCSTTCTTAGTATCGGTTGAGGAATACCAATAGTCTTATAAATAATAGTACCAGGTGCAATAACAACCAAATCTAAGAAGAAAATGGTTTGATATGGTTCTTTCGGTGGTTCAATAACATAATTTGTCACATAATTTTTTATCTTTATAAGGGAAAATTTGGTWAGTTTTCCAATAGAAATCATACTGTTCAAGGCAGCTGAAATCTCAACATAATTTGTATTTTCACCGTCAGAAATAATCAAACAATAATAATTATCTCTTCTTTGACTTTTTTCAATATCAATAACTTGCATGATAGGATCTTCAATATTTACGTTGTTCTTAATGTACATTAACGCTCCCTTGGTTAACATTTTTTCATACTCCATTATTTCTACGATTTTATACACCAATAATCTTTTGCGTGGTTTTCTGTAAAATATTAAAAACATTAATAACTTAAAAATATAGAAAAATTGTTTTACGTAATATAAAAAAAATATTAAAATAATTTCAACTACCTATCTAATAGGGTGTCGGCACCGATGCGGTCGGGACATTTGCGGTAGGTACCTTTTGCGGG